TCTGTTTAGAAATCTGATCCAAAGGGTTTAACTGTCATTTTATATATGTCCTGCAGCCTTGACAAATGTCTTATGCACATAAAAATATCAGTCTGGGTGATATTGTCGGGTACAACAGCCACAATTCTGAGTGGGGGGTGGGGGGGAGAAGACATCAAAATGACCAAAGATAGCCAGCAGAATGAAAGAGGAAAGCTATTTGAATACTGATGTGTCCCACAACAACTTCCATTTCCATTAATGACATGCTCATCAAGGGCAAACAATGGGACCTGCTGCCGCTGATTTCCCTGTGCTTGTCAGTGTATGTGCTGGTAACGCCATTCTGTCAGTCCCTGGCTGCAGTTAGAGACCTGCACACTAATGAGAAGTGCTCTCTGCCATCAGCGCAGACAGGTGCTTCCGTAGCTGGGACATGCTCCATTCCCTCTCCCTAAATCGCTCTTTCTCCTTCTGAACACCCTGACAGACACCATGAAATGCAGAAATTAACAGCCCCATCATGTTGTGGTGCTGCTTGCAGAGAAAGCAGAAAATCAAGTTGTCACACCGTGTGCGGTGATAAACCTACAGATCCATTCTCCACTGCTGCCCTATAATAGCAAGAGCCAGATAACTCGATGGATCATGGGCTCCAATATTAGCTTCAGCTGCACTTTACCGTATCATTAACAGAACATTTTCAGCTTCTTTCAGTGTGGGAATCAGCACTAACTTATAAGCCTCATGTAAACAAGTCAAATAATTGGTATCTCGCACACTGAGCAATCCATGGAGAAGGAATCTTTAAAGCGTCAAATTAATTGAAGTACTAATTGCACCAAATAATGCAACTGCATATGAAATCCTGAAGTGATAAATCTATACGAATGAATGCATGAGATTTAAGACTATAATCGCTAGAAATGATAAATTCAGCATACAGCAGCGGTAGAACACTACAGCATTTATTTCAGAGTTACGAAAGCTGTAGTGATCCATTTATAATAGTGAATTACGGTATTTCCCTTAAGTAATGTACCATTGGTCATCACTAACACTTTATTCAGTTGTATTTAATGTTTATATTCTACAGACTTTTCTACTTCTGTAAGTTATTTTCTCAATCTTTACAGAGCAATCTTTCCCCTTGTCTTGTACAAAGGAGAGAAATTACATTAGCCTGAACATTGCTCCATAACCAACCATCAGGAGATGCACAAATGTAATCCAAGTTGAATTGCACAGTAGATTTCCCATTCCTTCTGCGACAAACTATTCACCCAAGTTCAAAATCTCCCCCAGAGACTGAGTGCAGATCAGAAAGGCTGCACGTGGAGAAATTTAGAAAGTTGCATCATTGCATGGAAGTACTACAGAATATTTAACTTAAGGTTTCAGAATGAGATTCAGAATTACATACAAACATAGGAGCAGAGGTAGACCATTCAGCCCCTCAGTAAAATCTGTTTGCTTTGAATTGGGCACTCTCATCTAAACTGATAATCTTTGATTCCATGCCTAAAACGAATCTACCTACCTCTACCTTAAAAATATTGAATGATCCCACCTCCAACACTTTCGAAGGCAGGGAGTTTCAAAGTCACACAAACCTCTGAGAAAAAGTTCTCATCTCTGTCTTAAAAAAGTGACCCTAATTTTAAGACAGTGTTCACTTGTTCTAGATTGAACCACAAGAAACATCCTTTCCATGTCCACCTTGTCAAGACTGTTCAAGATTTCATACACTTCAATTAAGTTATTCCACAATATTAAATTCTAGTGAAAACAAGCCCAGCCTGTCCAAACTATTTTCACTACGCATCCCACTCATTCCACATATTATCACGCTAGTAAATCTATGAACCACCTCCATTTATACCCTCCCTTACATGAAGGGGCAAAAACTGCACAAAGTCCTCCAGATGTGGTCTCACCAATGCCTGGTGTGAAAGAAAGAACGTTATGCTTCAGTTATGTTCAATTTTTCTTGTAATAAATTACTCAAGACCTAAGGAATTTATATTTCGATTGCCCATATTCAAACATAGCTGCAGGATAATAGATAGTTTTGTATGTGTGACATTAGAGCTTTATTTTCATTAATATTACATTCTACTTTTGTTCCAGATCAATGTCCATTAACTTACCGTAACTGAATTATGCACAGTGAAAGATTTCAGCACACAATGTCAACAGGAATGTGCACTTTGATGCAGTCATCACTGGACAGCCAAAGAGGAGCTTGATTTGTCCCTTTCCCAGCCAAGAATGATAAGCCCCAAGCACCACAATGTTGGTTTGAGATCAGTGAACTTCAAACAGGCATTAAATCTGGGATCTTCTGATTTCAGGACCACACCAGGCAGTGTACTTATTCCTTAGTGTGCTACAGCAGAGGCTGAACTTTAAAGTTTAGGAGACTAATACCTGGGTTGCCTTAAGAAGAAAGGTTAGACAGGTTAGGCTTGTATTTACTGAAGTTTAAGAGACAACTTGATTGAAACAAGATCTGAGGGGTCTTGACAGGATAGACTTAGACATGATCCTTCCTTTTAAGGGAGAATCCAGAACTAGGGGTCATTGTAAACAATCAGAGTTGCCGATTTAAAACAAAGCAGCAGCAAACTTCTCTCTTCTAGAGGGTTGAGTGTCTTTGGAACCATATTACTGAAAAGGTGGCAGAAGTAGAATCTTTAAATATTTTTAGGGGAGAGGTATCTAGATTTTTGTAAAGCAAAGGGGTGAAAGCCATCAGGAGCAGGCTGGAACATCAATTTCAATTTACAATTGGATTATTAAATGATGGAGCTGGCTTAAGGGGCTGTATTCCTACTCCCAGTTTGTATGTAAAATTCGAACCGAACTTAGATCATATTCATCTCCCAATTGACAAAGAAAAAAGTTCTGATTGCAGAACCATCATATTATAGGTCATAAAATGCACCTATTTTATATTAGTACTTTAAAAGTAGGTTTAGTATCAATTTACAACTGCACTAACAACTCTATAATCACCTTTTCCTTTAGTTAAGGATCAAACACAGTTGTTCCAAAGTTAGAAATGGTATTTTTATTCAGAACCAGAGTTCAGAAAAAAACAATATGATGTAAGGAATATTATCACATTTTATGGAGGTTCATCAGACAGTGTATGAATTAGTCTTTAGAATAAGGGAAGCCCAAGATGGCTGCTGACAAATCTGTGCTGCTACCAAAAGCAAACACTGAATTCAAACACAGCCATAGAAAATTTAACCAGGCTTTGCAAGAATCAATTTTCAATTGGCTGACAAATCACCCTCTGGCAAGATGGATGAATGTGGAAAAATAATTTTAATTGAAGATGCACTTAACAGTTAGTACTTTGATGCAGCTTAATTTTCTAAACTACCTTAAATTCATAATTAACAAGCCCAGTTATTTATTATGTACCTCTTTGCTGCACAACACTAAAACCGAAGTAAATATTTAGGAATGACCCTGTCTGACAGGTGCCCACCTTCAGATGAATATTTTAACCTTTTCCAATGACTAAGCTACAACCTTGTTTTAAAAACTGCACATTGTCTTGCTTGGGGAAGTGCATATGAATTTCATACTTTAAACCACCAGCTTTTCAAGGGAGACCAAGTAAATATATTTGGTGAGCAAGGTGAAAATGGCAGTCACCCACCATCTGAAAATATATCCTCAGAAACCTGGTTAACCTGAATGAAAATCAGCCATCTCAACAAACAGAATACACAGGACAATCTGCATCTCTGACATTACAAAAACAACCATCTGTTTGCAAAGGCAGTGACTAGATATTCACTTTTTTCACAAATATACATTTATAGTGCATATGATCAGTAGACTTCATAACTAATCCTATTGATTCAGCCTGGCAGTCAGTTACAAGTTGTCAACATGTTTCACCCAGTAATCCTGTGCTTGTAACATCTTATGCCTTCCTAAAGTAAATATTCTACAGTTCAGTATCTATATTACTGATACATATGCATATCATATTCCTACAGCAGTTATATAAACAGCTGTCTGCAGTGAAGTGGAGAATATGTTCTCTAGAAATACAATATTACAACAATTGTGGAATTGCTAGATGAATCGTGTGTGAATCACCAGTGAAATATAGCACATTCACATTGCACCCAGTAAATACTGCTGAATCTGTTCCCATAAATGTTGCTGCCAAATTGGGTATGACAAAGCATTAAACAAATGAGGGAGAAAAAAGGAACAAAGATGGAGAAGCTATTAAAAATTGAGAATATATCGGAAGATATCACTTTAGAAGTGTTAGAACAAGTGACAAGCAGTTAAGAATCACAACTAGGGAATGAAGAAGAGATGAACAACAAAGTGCATATTAAAGATAAACAAAAACAACTATAAGCAAAGGTCTGTGCATTATTCTTGAATGAGGCAAGCCCATCTTTTGGTTAAAGTAACAGATGAATTCCTCTGGAAATGGTGCAGATCACAGACTGGGTATTAGAATATATACACAGGAAACTGCTAAATTTCTAAGATGACCAGATCATAAAATTAAAAGTAAAACCGAGCAGTCTTCACAGTTTAAAAAGGTAAAAATACTAACTATAAATGGTTTGTTCAACTTGTTTTCTTTTGCAAGTCATTTCAGCAGATATAACGACTTGACTGAATATCAGACAACTACCATTGGCATTTCTGAATAAATTTGACTTGTTAATGAAGTAGGCTTTGTTAGCAGATTTTCCTTGGTAAACAACAAATATGGTTCAATTATCATGTCAGAAATGTTCTTGGAGCTGGTTGTTTTTGTGCAGCAGCCTTAATAATCCTCCAGATTTTTAAATCCAATAAAATCAAATGAGTGCGAAAAGCCTTCATCCCGCTAAAGTCGAAAGACATGCCATCTCATCTACAGAGAAACAGACCATTTCCATGTCTAGGCTGAAGAGCTGTCTGCACTGGGGATAGTACTATTCTATTTGATTTATGATATAATAGTGTGACAAATGATGACAAAAATAAACTTTTACTGCAGTGAACTGCTCCTTTATTTATGAAATTTTGCCAAGTACTGAAATCTTTTATCTGCAAGTTGTACACGAAGTGGAAACGAGTGATTATGGTGCAGTAATAGTAATACAGTGATGGAGGCAGAGTCCGCTGTAAATGGATTGAGGTAAAATAACTACCGCACCATGATAAATGTGAACTGCGCTTTGCTGACAGATGATCTAACAGGTGTTCATAACAACTATATAAGAGGATTTATTTATGACTGGCCACAGCCGCAGTACTGTAAATCAACTGAAGCAGCTGTACACCAGCAAACACAAGTCCCCGATGTAACAACTACACAAGAACAAGGGGAAAAATACTGTTTGGAATCCTAATCATTAAATAATTACTGCACAGAGATATACACCAAATCCAGTTGCAGCACTCAGTGCCCCAGAATTAAATTCTGAGATGGAATCTGTTTACCCATTTGGAAATTTAATAAGCTCACTTTTGTATTTTACTTCTGAAGCAAGTGGAGGAGGAAGAAAATAAACAGCATTACAAGCATCTCCAAGTACTATAAGCGACTATTCTCTGTAGACTAACAATAGTAATTGGAAAATTGGCACATAATCAAGATTAAGATACAAGCAGGCTGTTCCATAAGCAGCCGTTTCCCCCTTTTACTCTGAACTGGAAAAAGGTCAACAGGATTTTACATTATTTCCCCAATTTACACTAAAATAAAATTATAATGCATTAACAAACTGCATTTTCCCCAATATTCTTAGGTAATTCTGCTTTAGTCTCCAAGAAATTATAATTTGCAACAATCATCCAAAAAGATGTAAACAGCATGTCTGCTAAACTTGATGAAGTTCTAATCATCGGGAAAGCATTTGTAAAATGTCATTTTTTGCAGTGCTTTGCAACTAGTTACCATGTGAAAGCACAGATTCTGTTCTACTCAAAGCCATCACTAGTTTTCAGTCCTTAGGAAAGCCATGATTCACAACCATTACAAAAAGGGTGAGAAAGGAAATTATTTTGCCTCTTTCTTTTAGCCCTGCACCACTTCGTGGTTGTGACTCCTTTCCGAGCTAGTGCAAAGTTGCTCATAAGCCTGCCACTAGGCGGTGTACTAGAATAACGTGAAGCAAGTTCCCTAATGGAGGAGGTTGAATCGGAGGGAAAATGGGCTCCCCCTCCAAATGCTGAAGTGCAGATGTGTAAACAGATCACAAGAATGAGAAAATCCTTAAAATGCACAGGCTGCCAGTTAATGTTTGAATATGGCAAAATGATGGGGTCATGTTTGAATGAATCTTGATAATTAGTTACACCCAAATAATTAATTTATCATCCCTTTTCATTTACTGATCAATTTTGCTAGATTTCAAAGAACTGCTTTAATTTCAGATATCCAATGTTCAGTTTTCTTTATACAATCCCAGAACTGAATGCATCATATTTGATTAAGCTTATGTAAATAGGCTTAACAAAATACTGAGATCAGGGTTCTAAAACATTAATAAGCTAAAATGGCACTGACGTATCATAAGAGAAAGCAGCAAACAGGTGAAACTTTTTTTTGGCAAAAGATATATTTCTTTGGATGAATTTTATTCTTAATTTTGGACCATTGCAAGAGACTCCATTTAGGGGAGGGATTGGCACAAGAAAATATTATGCACTATTGTTTTCACCATTTAATAGAGAAGTCGTTTCAAGAGTTCTACAATAAACTCACCACTGGACTATATGGCCTGACATTGATTATTTTGCAACCATGGATCCTTTCTTTTCGAATTAATTTCTTGGAAACTATACAAAAAGCTATAGCGGCTGAAAATGCTTAAAGAGTAGTGGTTCCACACAATCCTGATGAAAGAGTAAATGTTATAAATGTTAACTTATGTTTAACGTTTGCTCATTCAAAGGAAAAAAAAACCCCTCAACACCATACCAAAACAATACAACAGAAGATTTGCTGATCTTTTAATCCAGCCACACACAATGTTTAGTTTGTTACTTGGGACTGTGCTGCTTTAGTAGCAAGCGAAAGAAAAGGATTGTGCTAAATTATATAATGAATTTCAAAGCAGATTTTAACAAGATTGTAACTGTGTGGTTTACATACTGCTGCCAGATGGAGGGGAATCTATTATAAAATGAAAGGCAACAGCAGTGGCTGACTAGCACAATGTTTGCCAGACACTTGCTTGCAGATATATCCTGGTCAGTCTTGAGACAGCACAGACTTCAGCTCCCGGAGCAGCACTGAACCAATCACAGACTTTTCAGTGTTTATCCTCAGCTGCATTGTTGATCCTTCCTTCACTTCTATTGTGATGAGTACCAAAGATCCACTGTTCACAGTTTTAGCTGCAAACCTGAACAAAAAAAAAAAAAAAAAAAATCAGGATTTTGTAAATATAAAGCATGCTCAGTAAATTAAACCGCCCTAACCCCAACAATATATAATGGGAAGTACTTGACAGATTTTGCATGGTGGATTACATTGCACACTGCCAGAGAACAGTGAAACACCTCTACTCATGCATGGGCTAGACAACCCAAGTCTATCAAAGATGAATCTTAACTGAGGTAAAGTCTACTTCAACTATTTCTGAGGAATCTGTATGTTCAGCACATAGTTAAAATGTCATCATGATATTACAGATCAGCAGTGCCACAAATGATCATTTACGTTTGTGAGCAATGAAGTTTCAATACTTGTATCATTGAACTAGTTATTGCATAAATTGCCTGGCTCGTCCCCGTACCAAAATAGTACACTTCAAAAGTCCTTCATTCACCATAGAACACTACGAAATGTCAGATGTTTGTCAAAGATGCAAGTATTTCTTCAAAATTTGTTTTAACTCCATACCAAGTTAGAGTTGATGATTGGGCCATTGTAAAAACACAGAATCTTAGCTTGCTACAGTGCAGGAGGTGGCCATTACAACCACTGTGACTATACTGGCTCTTTGACCATTTGATTTTAGTGCCAATCTCCTGCCTTTTCCTTACATCTCTGCTAATTGTTTAAACAGAAACAATCATCCAATGCCCTCCATGATTGCCTCAATTGAACCTGCCATCACTCCATTTCCAGGCAGTGCATTCCAGGAAACTACAGCATAAATTCATGGCTTCAACACACTGTCCATTATCATTAGCTTGTAGATTTTATATTTTAAATAATCTTCAATTGGCCACAAATTGGACACCTAAAATACTATCACACCTCCTCAGTTATACTCTACTACTCTGTTTAAAAATGCACATTGTATAGTGGGGAGTGTAAGTACACCTTGCAGGTGCCTTTCCATGTTGAATACTTGTTTCTACTGTAATTTGAGATTTCTTTTGGACTGTATATTTAATGATTCAAAGCCTCTTCTGTATTGCTAACCATTCCAGTTTCTAATACTACATTCCAATCTGCTACATCAAATGTTATATTGTTGAAGATTATATTACTAGTTATTGTCTTCTGGGTAGGGGGCATGGCTGCTTTTTCATATCTTACACTTAACTGGAGACCTTTTACAGGAAAGACGTTGTTAAAATTGAAAGGGTTCAGAAAAGATGTACAAGGACATTGCCAGGACAGGATGGTTTGAGTTATAGGGAGAGGATGAACAGGCTGGGACTTTTCTCCCTGGAGCGCTGGAGGCTGAGGGATGACCTTATAGAGGTTTATTAAATCATGAGGGACATGGATAGGGTGAAGAGCCAAGATGTTTTCCTAGGATGGGGAGTCCAAAACTAGAGGGCATAGGTTTAAGGTGAGACAGGAAAGATTTTTTTGAACAAAAAAGGACCTGAGGGGTAATATTTTCACACAGAGGGTGCTGCGTGTATGGAATGACTGCTAGATGAAGTTGTGAACTCGGGTGCAATTACAACATCTGGATGGGTAAAAGAATAGGAAGGGTTTAGAAGGATATGGGCCAACTGCTGGGAAATGGGACTAAATCAGATTAGGATGTCTGGTTGGCGCAGACAAACGGTCTGTTTCTATGCTGTAGAACTCTATAACTCAGGATGATTTTTTTTCATTTTTGGTGAGAAGTGTGTTGGAATTCAGGTAGGTAATGCAGTTGTCTTTAAAGATCAAAAGCCCTAAAATAAGACAGTTTTCTGCTTTCTTTATTTAAGCATTCTCTAACACTGTATGAGAATATACAAACATACAAATTAGGAGGAGACGCACCATTCAGACCCTTGAGCCTACTCCACAATTCAATTAGATCACAGCTGATCTTATTGTAATCTCAAATTCTCCTTCGTTGGAGGCAGAACATAGAACAGTACAGCACAGTATAGGCCCTTCGGCCCAAGATGTTGTGCTGAACTTTTACCCTAATCCTAAGGTCTACCTACCCTCCACCCCTACCTTATACTATCATCCATATGCTATCTAATAGCAGTTTAAATGCCCATAATGAGGCCGACTCCACTACCCTCTCCGGCAATGCATTCCACGCCTCTACCACTCTGAGTAAAGAACCTACCTCTGACGTCTCCCCCCCCCTATATCTACCTCCACTACTTTAAAACTATGCCCCCTTGTAATAGCTACCTCCACCCTAGGAAAAAGTCTCTGGCTGTCCACTATCTATACCTCTGATTATTTTGTATACCTCTATCAAGTCACCTCTCACCCTTTGTCGTTCTAAAGAGAAAAGCCCTAGCTCTCTCAACCTTTCCTCGTAAGACCTTCCCTCCATTCCAGGCAACATCCTGGTAAATCTCCTCTGCACCTTTTCCAACACTTCTACATCTTTCTTGTAATGAGGTGACCAGAATTGGACACACTACTCCAGATGTGGCCGAACCAGGCTTTTGTATAGCTGGAGCATAACTTCACGGCTCTTGAACTCAATCCCTCTATTAATGAAAGCTAACACACCATACGCCTTCTTAACAACTCTATCCACCTGGGTGGCAGCTTTCAGGGAACTGTGGATATGAACCCCAAGATCCCTCTGCTCCTTCACACTGCCAAGAATCTTTCCGTTAACCCTGTATTCCACTTTCAAGTTTGTCCTACCAAAGTTCAATTCTCAGTGCAGAGAAGGTTCACTAAGATGATCCCTGATATGGAGCAATGGTCTTACGAGCAAAGGCTAAACAATATGGGACTCTACTCACTGGAATTTAGAAGAAGGAGGTGATCTCATTTAAACACACTGGATTCTTCAGGGGCTTGACAATGTAAATTCTGACAGGATGTTTCCTCTCATGGTGGAGGTGAGGACCAGGGGGCACCATCTCAGAATAAAGTGGCACTAATTTAAGATTGAGATGAGGAGAAATTTAATCTGAGGATTGAGAGCCTTTGCAATTCCTTGCCGTAGAGAGCTGTTGGGACAAAGTCATTGTATATATTTAAGGCCGAGGTAGACAGTTTCTTGATCAGTAGAGGAATCAAGGGTTATAGGGAAAAGGCAGAACAATGCAATTTAGAATTATCAGATCAACTATGATTACATTGAATGGCAAAGCAGACTCAATGGGCTAAATAGACTATTTATGCTCCTAGGTATTACAGGAGGAGGAGTAATATTGAATGAGGAAGATTAATTCTGTTTCACCCTTCACAGATGCTGCCAGACCAGAGTTGTTTCTTTTATTTCAGATCTCCAACATCTGTGTTGTGCTTTTATTTTAGTTGTCAGCTAATATGTTGAAAATGCAACTGTGACCTTTCTTTTTGTTTAAGACATGGTAAAAAACAAACTGACCAATTGTAAATAATCATTTCTAATGCAAGAAACATTGTTGAGGTCTACAATGAAGTATAGGACTTAAATGATGAAACTTACATATTCAGTGTCTGTAATGTAGAAATGTGTATTGGTCTGTAACTTCAATATAATTTTTACCCTTCTTTTAATATCTTGTTCAACTTCCCGGTTACCAATTGAATTTGTCCATTTGTATTACAACATGACTGTTAACGCATTTTAACCAGAATAAGGCTTCAAATTTTGCAATGTAAGCTTTACTACGATTCCAGCTTCAAGATGTGTTTCATGAACAAAATACTGTTAGTACTAATAAAAAAAAATTTTAAGTTCCACAAGGAAGCATTTCACCAAGAAACATGCCATTAATGTTATGTTTACAACTTTTGGATTGCTCTTCAGATTTCCATTTATTGCAACACAAGTGCAGGAATGTTGCATATGTCTGAAGCTTGTTTCGTATATCTAAAACATCTTTGTATGTAGCACAGACCAAGACTGATACAAAGCTGTGAAGAAGCTGTGGTATCAACTTTTTAGAGCTGGTCGGTTCTTTTGTGAGCTGTTGGATCAGCGTTTACCAGGTTTTTCTTGCTATAATAGGATCTCCTCTAGGCATTGCAAATGACAACAGCCCAGCAAAATTGATGGTTAAATTCCAATTTGGTGCCTCATCCTTTGTTTGCTTTGTGTGCTTCTTTGCATGACTGCTGAGAGAGTATCTGGCTGGTCGATGAGCATTGCCGTATACCCTGTGTAGAATGCTGCTTGCAGTTGTTCCTAAAATTTGTTAACATGGTTCATTTTATTGAATTCTCTTAGCTTCACCAATATACATATCCAAATTCGGCCAGAATTATAGCCTTGGTGTTTGTTCTAGGATGCTTTATTAAAACTACAAATTCTGAGACACAGATTAAAACAGGAAAATTTGCAAACTGGTCTGTTCACTTGCAAACTCTAAACAGAATGATGATCTAAAATCTGCCTATTGCTGAGATGGAAGCTTGGTTTTAATTTCAGCATGGACAATTGCAATACAATGAGTACAGAACACCTTTATAGTTTGGAAAAAATACAATGATACAAGATCTGGGGTTTAACAGGAGATGGAGCAATACATCTAAAATGTGATGAGTTTTTCATGTGCATAGTAAGCACATGGTTTTCCTATAACCAATCACACTAGCTTTATGCTTTGGTATATGGAGGACGTCCAAAATGAAGAAATTAGGTTCCGGCACAGCATCCCATTTTTCATTCAATACTTTGAACATAATAGAAAGATGCATTTCATTCTAATACAAACAATTTAGTATGAAGGCCATTTCAATATTGAATGTGATGTCACATGCAAGATCGAGACGGGGCCTTGTCATCAACACAGGCTAAAGAATTCTTACAAAGCCAATAGTCGTATTACAATAAAACCTAACTATAAGGAACATCTGTTTTTGTTGGGGATGGGGAAGATATCCACTTCCTTCCTTGCATCTGTCTTTTGTTAGTTCTCAAATTATATGAATACTTATGAGTAGACCATTTTTAGGAAAACAATTTAAGCCCTTCAATTATCTCTATCATCCATAAGGATAATTGCTAAATGCCAGACTTTCCAATAAACTTGAGAA